GGTTTATGTATGCCCAGGGCCCTGTTTCCTTCTGGTCAGCTGACTGGGTGCAGGTGCCAGTTAATACCGATTAGCTTACTGCCAAGGCAACTTGCCTAGCTCTGAGGGTTCCCTAGCTAAGCTGCCTCTGGTCTTGAAGGAGCAGGCACACCTTAGTGTCCTGCAACACTCCTCAACATCCTTCCTGCCTAGAAATGACAGAAATTGGCAGCTTTCCCTGGAGAGATTGCTGGGTTTAGATGACCCCAGCTAGATGCTTATCTAACCTCCTCTTGAAGACCCCCAGGGTAGGGGAGAGCACCACCTCCCTTGGGAGCCCATTCCAGACCTTGGCCACTCGAACTGTGAAGAAGTTCTTCCTAATGTCCAGTCTAAATCTGCTCTCTGCTAGCTTGTGGCCATTATTTCTTGTAACCCCCGGGGGTGCCTTGGTGAATAAAACCTCACCAATTCCCTTCTGTGCCCCCGTGATGAACTTATAGGCAGCCACAAGGTCGCCTCTCAACCTTCTCTTGCGGAGGCTGAAGAGGTCCAGGTGACCTAGTCTTTCCTCATAGGGCTTGGCCTGCAAGCCCTTAACCATACGAGTGGCCCTTCTCTGGACCCTCTCCAGGTTATCCACATCCCTCTTGAAGTGCGGCGCCCAAAACTGCACGCAGTATTCCAACTGCGGTCTGACCAGTGCCCGATAGAGGGGAAGTATCACCTCCTTGGATCTGTTCGTCATGCATCTGTTGATGCACGATAAAGTGCCATTAGCTTTTCTGATGGCTTCGTCACACTGGCGACTCATGTTCATCTTGGAGTCCACTAGGAGTACATGAAGGTTTCCATGTCTAGAAGGTTTCCATTTGTCTTCACCTCCCAACACCTTCGTCTCTTCCCTTACCTCCCACAACCCATACCTCCCCAAATCCCCACAATTTCCCACATCCAACACTGTACTCTTTGCCTTATTCAACTTTGCACCTGAATCCTCCCCATACTCCTGTGTGCCTCAACACATGCCCTACTGATACTGTATGTCTCAACAGCACTGTCAGGTCATGCATATATGCAGTGCATCTTACCTCCTCCACACCCCAACCCGGAAAGGAAATCCCGCTTGTTACCCTATCTCCCCAAATCGTATGCACCAGGGGTTCCATTGCACAAATGAAAATCCCCACCGACAAAGGACGCCCTTGCCTTACCCCTGTGTGAATTTCAAAAGCTCGCCCCAAGTGCTCCTCCACCAACAACTGACTCTTTGCTCTCCCATACAGCAACTTCACCCACCCCACCAACTTCTCTGGAAAACCCATATTCCCCGGTACCCCAAACAAAAACTTATGTGCCACCCTGTCATATGCTTTTTTCAAATCTAAATTTACCAGCAATGTATTTATCTTCCTGGATATATGACATTTTATCTCTCAGTATCCATAAAGTCTGTGAAATTCTCCTACCCCTCTAATGAACAAGTCTGGTCCTCATGGATCACCTGTGTCAAACTGTCTTTCATTTGTGCCGCCACCACCTTTGCCACCAACTTATAATCAACGTTCAATAGTGTAATGGGCCTCCAATTACTTAACAGATCCTTTTCCCCCCTTACGAATCAAAACCACCACCTCACCCACAAAATCCTTTCCTACTACCCTGTGCTTTGTGATCTCCTCAAACACTTCCACCAAATCCAACCCCACCCATGATCAAAACTTAACAAAGAACTCAGCTGGTAAGCCATCCTTCCCGAATGATTTACCCCTCCTTGATTGTTTTCAACACCCTCTCGACCTCTTCTACTGATATCCCTTCTCAAGCAAATCCCAGGATGTCATCCTCCCGCTGTACTCAGCCTTGGTGAGGCCACAGTTGGAGTACTGCATCCAAATCTGAGCACCACAGTTTAAAAAGGATGTGGAAAAGCTTGAGAGTCCAGAGAAGAGCCACACGTATGATCATAGGGCAAGAGAACAGGCCCTGTGATGAGGGTGAGAGCCACGAGACTCTTCAACCTGGAAAAGCGCAGGCTCAAGGGGGACCTGGTGGCTACCTACAAGTATATAAGAGGTGTTCATCAGGATCTGAGGGAATGCCTGCTTACCAGAGCACCCCAAGGGATGACAAGGTAAAATGGTCACAAACTCCTCCAAGACCATTTTAGGCTGGACATAAGGAAAAACTTCTTTACTGTCTGAGCCCTCAAAGCCTGGAATAGACTGCCTCCAGAGGTGGTGCAAGCACCTACTCTGGACTCCTTTAAGAAGCATTTGGACATCTATCTTGCTGGGATCCTTTGACCCTAGCTGACTTCCTGCCCTTGGGCAGGGGGCTGAACAAAATGATCTTCCTAGGTCCTTTCTAGCCCTGATGTCTATGAAATCTATATACTATAAAAGCAAACTACAGATGTGGCAGGTGAGACTGAACAGGTACCTCACAGAGCCAGGAAATAATCATATCATTATGACATCAATCTATTTTATGCCAGTGCAAATAAGCAAATGACAAGCAATAATAGGCAACTGCCTACATACAAAGTTGTGGGTTGAACAGAACACTAGTTTTTTCTTCCTAAAGAATACAAACAACCACTTGTGAGCACACTGGTAAAGTGCATTTGACCTTAAGTGTTATAAAAAGATTCCTACTGAAACTTTCAGAATGCAGTACCAAATCTTCCTGAATCTGTGAAAAGGCAAATGTGATTCTGTGGGCTGAAATATAGCCCATGTTGATGGGATCTATAGGACAATTTGGTTAAAATAATCCTCTCTTCCAAGAAACAAGAGAACAGTGATGCACTGGGAAAATATAACCAGGCAACAAATTAAAAAACCCAATAGCTACCTGATGCTTTTCAGCAGACAGATTTCTTCTGAGAACTTGAGGAACTGAACAAACTGCCCAGGAACAGTAGCTAGGTCAGAACATTCACTAGCTGAGGAACAGTCACCCTTCAAGTGCCAGACATAGGAGAGAGAAACCATATTTTCAAGCAGATTTCAGTAAACAAAGGTGAAAAAGGTATTCCTTCTTAACTTAGGTACTGAATACATTCTGATGGCTTGTGGTGCACGATAACCAGGGATCCTAGTTTTCGCTGATAAAAAAATAAATCGCAAATTCTCTGATAAAACCCCCCAAATCCATTATTAAAATTAAAAGCTCCCTGTATTCCCCCCAGCCCCGCTGGTGCCCCTCATCCCCCCTAATGCCTCCCTCAGTCCTGCTAGTGCCCCTCACTGCTCCCAAAGCCCCTCCCCAACCCTGCTGGTGCCCCTCACTTGCCCCCAACCCCCCCCCCATTCTGCTGGTGCCCCTCACTGCCCCCACAACCAGCTCCCCTGCCCTACTTGTGCTTCTTGCCCCACACCCACATCCCCTGCCCCCCAGCCCTGCTGGAAGGGGCCCCCATCTGCCAGGGCTATATGGCCAGGGACCCAGGTCTGCAGCTCCCTGTCCCCAACACCAGTCAGCTGCAGCAGAAGCAGCTTGGAGCCAGGCTCACTGCCAGCCCTGCTGGTGTCCCCCAGCCATGACCTGCAACCCTCCAGCCCTGCCAGAAGAGCCCCCAGCCCTCTGCAAGCCCCACTTACTGCACAGGCTCCAGGAGCAAAGAGTGAGGCTGAGCTGAGCAGAGCTGTGGCTGACTGAGTCTCAGCCCCCATCCTTCTGCCTCCCCCTCCCAGCAGTGCTGGGGGTTTCCCAACCTGTTTGCAAACAGCACTTGCAGGCTGGAGCTCAACCAGCCTGCAGAGCTCTTTGCAAAAGTGGAGAATCCGCAGGTTTTTCCGCTAAAAGGAGAAATCCGTGTTTTCTCTGATAAAAAGGAGAAATCTATGGTTTTCCTGGTTTTCTGTGGGAATTGGAAAACCTGGATCCCTGATGATAGCCCAACTATCATGTTCACTCTTCTGTCCTACAGAGTAAGCAAGCAAAGATTAACCATATCACATCATCATATAATAGGTGTTCATAAAACTGGGAAAGATTAGATTTCCACACCCAATCTATATTGAATGAACCTAAAATATGATCTATTACTGTGGCAGGGCTGAGGGGAGAGAGGGTTCTTCTGTCCATCACAGTCCATCCTACCACCCACCTGCCCAGAATCCTCCCAGTGACACTTGCTTGTCATGCCTTTTTGGGTAGAGAGGACTCCTAAGGCTAGGCCTCACAGCTCGGTGTGTTCTTGGTGTTGGGTGGTACTCTTGGTTTCCTGGTCAGGCTGTCACCTCACCAGCTTCCCCTTCTCTGTCTCAGTCTCGTTGCCTCTGACTCTGGGTTACTCCTAGGTTACCACCTCTTCAGGTCTAGGGCCCAAGACTCGGGGCTTCACAGCCACTCAACGCTTTGCACCACCACAGTAGACTCTTGGGCTATCATGCCTGTGGCAATAATCTTTCTTGTGGGAAGTAGGTTGGGCAGGGTGGTAGGACACCCTGTCCTTTGGCCTCCACATCTCCCATTAGTCACTCCTGGTCCACCAGCTGTCCATTAGGAAAAAAAGAAAAAAAAAAAAGGAAAAAAAAAATCAACTTAAAGTTCTTTCTCTACTTCAGGGTAATGGACACAGTCTCCACAGGGCTTTGCCCCACAGGCCTACTTTCCAAACAAAATAGAAACAAAAGGAGAAACTAGAATTTCTTCTGTTCAAGCTCACTCCCTTGCCAGGGCTACTTACAGGGTCCATCTGTGCCTTCTCTCCCTCTGGTGGGGACTATCCTGTTATCTTGGTGGTCAGGGCTCCACTGCCCCCCACACATCCCTTCTGGGTGAACTTTTATCTGTCCAGGCCACTCCCCAACTTCTGGTCATGTGGCTTATTCGGCTGCACGTGGCTCATACTGTCCCAAAAGGTCTTGGTTTTTAAGTGGTCAGGACCTCTTTCTAGCTTTCTTTCTCCATTTTTCATAACAGGGACTCTGCTCCCTCTTACAGTTACCAAACTTTAGAAAAAAAGAAAACAACTACTAAATCCAATAACACATAAAATTTTATTAGACAGACAAGATTAGTAATTAGATAAATGGAAAATTAAACATTAAAACATGGGACCTAATAGAATGGCCCCATTACAGGTTCATAATATTATACTGTATTTAGATCTTTCTAGCTAATGTTGTCAGGAGCCTAATGACATGCACATATAAAGCCACTATTCACAGTAGAGGGTAGGAATTCTGGCAAGTACAGAGCTTGTTAACACATTATTATTAGCATGATGATACCTGTGTTAATCAGCAGACAAAAGAACTATGTGTAGCCCAAACATGTAGCATTATGAATACTCCTAATATATGAGTTACAAATATATGGTGAGCTATAAGAAAGAGCCCTGATTATCAGCAGCAAGCAGACACCTCAAAAGTCACATAAACAACAATTCAGTAAGTAGAACTGCCCTGCAATCCTTCTGGGTACTCTTCTGGATAAGAGGGAATGTACAAATTAGGATAAACTGTATAATACAGAGCAATGTTCTTCAGCTCCCTCCTTAGCAGGAATTGCAAATTTCAGCCTGCAGTAGTTAAAAATTGTCTCTGATATCTTTAACAATTCATAAAATAATTTCTTTATGGCTGTCCACAGATGATCTGGGCTGGGTGGTAGCCATGAAGTTGTCAAAATGATGCGAGGAGTCGTCTTTCACTCGTCATTGTAGCTGAGTTTTCTGAATATCCTGGAAAAGAATATTGTTGAATTATAGTTACTAGTAACTGAACCTCTGAAGAACAGAATGTCAAAGCAAAGGATCTAGTCACCTAACTGCATTTATTGTTAACTGCAGTGGGCCTACCACACACCTTCTCGCACCCACCTGAACATAGGGATTCTCTTCTTCTTTCCATTTTTTAATGTCCCAATAATTTCAGCAAATAGAGGAAATCTCTATTAATTCAAATTAGGTTAATAACTCTCAAATCTAATCTAGCAGTCATATCTGAACATAAATAAAAGTGAAAGTTCCAGAAGAGGGAGAATACCTCCTTTACTCTCCCTTTCATTTCTCCCCTTAGGAACTGAAGGATACCTTATCTTATTCCTTACCTTATCTTATTCTTCAGATTTACTATGAATTCATCCAGGTTGAGATCACAGTGTCAGGTGATCTGTGTCACCACAGTCCAAGCCAGCATTCAAATAGATCCACAGTAAACCTGTTACTTTCTGTCCTTTTTCTTTCCTGATATTTATCTTTTGTAAACACCTTTTTGCCAAGGATTGTCAAATCTTTCCAGACACAATGAAGATCTATCTGTTTCTTTCCAAACTGTTAATTGGAACACTTGGCTGCTTTGCCATCTGCTTGGCTGTAAGATTTCGGAATGCTTCAAGAACATTAAGGAAAAGCCTCATTCTCAGGGTGTTTATTAGAGGCATCTCAGCTGTCTAAAAAATATCAAGTCTTTGGGTGGAGAAAATTGCCAGCTGAGAGCCCATTCAGGTTACACACATGCATGTTCACTGACTTGCAATTAAGGAACAAAGATCGATGTTTATTCCACATAGCTTGACAAGAAAACATTCATTATGGCTTCTCATACAGCCTGTTACTTGCACACATGCAGAAATAAATTTTTAGCTTTGCCAATCTTATAAAAAGTTTCTGTCCAGAGGGACAGAAAGGAAAGAAACAGAGGGAAAGAAAACAAGTATGAATTAAGAAGCTGAGTAACGATTTACCAAAAGGAGATTTAAGTGGGAAGAGACAAGTAAACTCACAAAAAAATCATCCCATTTGTTAAGCTTACTCAAGATCATACACTGCATTGACTTTTCCATATTTGTAGAGTATTTCACATTCATCTCTGTCTAAACTCATTTAGGAACAGTTTACTGTTCTCTCCTTTTTATTCAAAGCATGGGATCTTTTTTCCTTAAGATTGGTGCTGAAATACTTCCACAATCTGTGTAGCACTCTTTGAAGAACTCATCTACTTATCATCCAAATTACATTATTTATTCTAAATTTCTAAATGTTCAACTAATTTTCACCCTCAGAAGCCTCTTTCACATGAGATCAGCTGTACTGAATGCATAATGGCATGACAAAAGTGTTTAATGGCATGAGTCTGGGAAGGGTATACTATTTGAGAGTGTCAAGTAACAGATTTATCCTTCAGATGCTTCTAATAGAATGCCAAATAGGAAGTCATGTTTTAAAGTCTTAAGAGATTTTCTGTGTTACCAACTGTTAAAGAATTTTTTAAATATATATTTTTGGAAATAAAGGACATTTAAAAAATACCTTGTGCATTATATTTTACATTCCAGTGTTTTTAAACCTGATATCCTCTGGTGATGAAATCTAAATGAGCATGACTTCAAGAGTGGAAGCTTCAGAAGCTTCCAGAAGTTATCCTAATATCTCCCCTTAATTCAACTAAACAAATTAAAGATCTTTGCCCACAAGAAAGCCCTAGTAAGCCAGATATTAGAATCTGAACCTGTCACAAGGCTAAAATTACGAACCGTGGAGAAGACTAAATTTGATGGGAAAGGAAACAAATAAATATGTCTAAAGTCCATCCATGCCTTACCTGTCAAGAGGTCTAGTTTATACACAGACTAGTGGGCACAAGAACGACAAGATGGTCAGCCACATACTATGAACACAATTTAACATATGTCCATTAACACAACATATTTAGTATAGGGGGTACCATCAACATCTTGTTTCATTCTCTCCACATATTCATGTATGGAGCACATGTGAAATATGTAACACATGACAGAGGAATGCAAATCAAAGCCTTTAAAACCTCTGCATCAAAACCTATCATGATGCAAGGTATTACAATATGTAAGTCTCAAAATGCACCCTAAAAGTATAGGTTTGATCAAGGACTGATATGACTCTATTAATGGTATAAAAACTGCATCAGTTATTTTTATTGTCATAAGACCAAATATAAATACACACTCTCTCTCTTTCCTCAAACATCACATCTTTAAAAGGAAGGTTATTACACAGTAAATGTGTTCTTTTTTTGAGAGAGAAAAGAAACAAATTAACTTGCAGTTGCAAAGTAACTTACTTTTTAGCTGCTCAAAAAAGTCACTTGCCTTTGTTGACGTTTTTCTGCATTTCTAGTTGATCCATGATTTTGCAGCATCCTAGGAATAGTTGCATAGATATCTGCTATCCTGGATTCTGGTGATATATCGAACAATGTGAAAAACGTTAAGCACCACACCGAGTACACTGTGCATTGCAGAAGATTGTTAAAACACTGGACTGCTATAGGCTTGGATAAGTAGCTCAGACCATCACCACTTTAGTCAGCAAGGTTGCGTCCAAATTCAATTTCAAATACGATTTGCATTTAACATTAAAAACAGTGAACATATTTAAGTGTAAAGCTAATTTTCTTTAAAGTCTTTATAATGTATCATCATTACATAGTTAGGGCAATTAGAGTGCACCGCATACATCAGTAAAGAGAAATACTATAAAGGAACGTTGGAGACTAACAATTTCTGGGACAAACCATTAAATAAAATTTGCTTTGGAAAACAGAAAATTAAGGGACCCTTAAACGTAGCGAAAAGAAAGTCAAGCATCTTTCTGAAGAGTTTGCAGGTAGCGTGCTGACTAGGAACAGATTACTAAAACAAAGCAGTGAACAAATATATTTTTTCTTCTATTTTCCCTTGCAACTGGTTAACTTTGTGCATTTGACAATTTAAGTTGCTTTTATCAGTTCTTCATTTGGAGTTCTTCCTTTGCTGACAAGATGAATAAAAATGAACTGACAAACAGGAAAATACCAGTGGTTTGTTCAAAATATAAATTTTATATTAGGAAATTCTCAAGTCACATTAAACACACTTTAACCAAAATTTGTTTTTGCTTTCTTTTCTTTTTAAAACATAGTTCAATAGTAATGTGTTCTTTCACATAGCTACAAGGGAAGTACTGTATTTACCTGCACCTCTAGTACCTATCTCCCCCTGCCCCCCCCCACACACTGCCCCCAGTGCTTACCCCCTGCTGCCTCTTCCTCCCCATAGGCTACTTCCCCTTCCTGACACCACTTACCCTGTGGCAAGCTGTCTCTACACACACACACACGCACGTGCGCACGCGCCATGTGATCTTCCCCAAATTCACCCTCTCCCCTGCCCCACAAGCCATCCTTGCCAGATAGCAGTGCCAGTAGCTACAGCCCTGGTCCTGGGACTTGAGTCCAAGATGAGAGTTCCCTTCCCCATGTTAAATGAGGGAAAAAGAACACTTAATTCTGGATTTGATTAAATACAGTAATTCAGAACAGAAATATTCTGTAGCAAAAATATTTGAAAACTGGGGCACTGAAACCAAAGGTACTGAATAAATTGGATGCAAACTTGAAATGTCACATGATATTATATTCAGTTAATGGTTACTTTTGACTGAAAGTACAGTATATTTCAGAAGTTAGGCAATACCAACAAAGAAAAGTCAGGGATTGATTTAAGAACAAATTAAATATAGATATTCATAGTTTGGCTGTTACTCAGATATGGGCAGAAACATAAATCTAAAAAAAAAAATCTGAAGAATCTGAAAAAAAATCTGAAAAACCTGAAAAAAATCTCAATCACTAGAAATTGAGGGAATTTGTTTTGGATGGAACAAAAAGATACCTAGCAAATGAAAACCCTGGCTAATTATGAAAGAGGAAAACAGGAGAAAAAAATAAACAATGTTTTTCAGCACAAAATATATTTAGGCGAAAAATCCTAAATAGTCCCCAAAAAGGGTAGAAGTTGCATCTTTTGAAACATAAAAATTTAACTATTCTAAACAAAAGGGATGCACAAGGACAAAAACTTACCTGGCAAGCAGATGGCCTAGCCATTGTAATGCAAGGATTTAAATTTTTACTTGCTAGCACTCTATTTGCTATTACCCAGCACTTACTGCAAGGAGATCAATTAAATGACTTCAAAGTTAAGCAGTCACCTTTTTTGCACCTATTAACCCTTAATTTACGGGAGGTTAATAACTGACCAATTTTTAAAATGGGAGCACTTTTTAAATACAAGATAAATCTCTCTCTTCCAATGATACTGACAAAAATTCATAATAGAAAGAAGATTAAAAGAACAACTGCAAGAAAATAAGATCCCTATTTTGTTAAAGCCAGAGAGTGAACTAGATTCAGGCTACCATTTAACATGCACAATTAACAAGCTAAAGCAGTGAAGCTAGGTCATGATTTTTTTTGATGGAAGGTACTTCTCCCAACAAAGGATTTGCTGAAATGTATACTTTCCAAAAAATTTCAAATTGAAGAAAATTTTACTGGGGAGGTCTCTCAGGTTCACAATAGGATTTCTGGTCAAAATCTGAGAATGAGAAACCAACTTCAGAACAGCCAAGTGTTCTGGGACTCTGCCTAGAACATGGGATAATAAAAATGCAGAGCATGAAGCTGTATCTCCTAAATGCCAGCTGAATGCTGTAACCATGAGGCTGCTGAGGTTTTTCACACCTTTAAAAAAAACAAACAAACCAACCCAACACACAAAGTAGTCATGCTTTGCAGAACACTACTAAATGCTCAGTCCTCAACACTCTTCACAAAACAGAATACTTGTTTTCTGGCCTACACTAGAGGGTGGACCAGGCATGTCAAATATAATAGCTTGCAGGACTACGAGTAGCCCAAGGAATTCAGGAGGGGAGCTGTGGTGGTGAGGCTGGCACGGCTAGCAGGGGGCATGGTCTGCTGTGCAATCTGAGGCTCTGGGGCCCCACTGGGCATGGCCCTTGGCAGGTGGGCTTTGCTGCCACAGCCTTGCTTGCCACACAGCTGCTTGGTACACTGTCACCTCTGCAACTGCTGCTTGCCCTGTAAACTGGCCAGTGAGGAGCCCTAAGGTCTAGATGCACTCCAAGGAACAGGGTAAGTTTGACTGCCCTGGGCTAAACCAAAGAGCTGCTGGCCACAGGGGAAAAGATCACAGCCTTTCACCGCTATGTCAGGCACAGATCCTGCCTCATCACTGCCATACCTGTATGCTAGGTATCACATCTCCAGTGTCAGCTGGGCCACGACCAGTTGAATTACTTTACTGGCTTGTCTTTCTTTAAATAAACCTTGGCTTACTATAGTCTAAGTAGATTTAGAAAGGGTGACATTTCACACCCTCAATTAAGAGGTAGAGTTTAGAATACAACCAACTCTGTGCTTCTAAGCATGCACAAATGATAGTTCCTTTCCAACATAGTATGTTGCTTCCAGAACTGCAGGCCATGTACTGTATGGATATAAAGGACCAAAAGGTGAGAGAAGGGCCCTAAAGAATGACTCTCAGATCTATTTATGTGCCTATTGCCTCTCTCATTTAGGTACATTTGTACAACTGGGTCTCAGACTAGTTTATCCACCTGGTTACATCCTTACTACCAACTGGCTGTCAATGCAATTTTGGAAAGAGCATCATGGTACTGGCTATTGTATCTGAACTCCTTCCTTCAAAACAAAGGCAAGTTTTACTGTACATAACATCTAGGATCAAAAAAATTCTTCATTTAATTCATTAGTTTCAAAAGCAAATAAAGCAAAAGGAGATTTCTACTCTTCCAACTGCAAATTAAAATGGGTGCAGCTTTCACAAACATGAATTTTGTAGTTATAAACCTCAAATTTATTAACCTTTCAGCTGATATACCCGTATATCATTTATGATTATCCACAGAGGAGCACTTTATTGCAATGTACATCTCAAAAAACATTTAATAGTATTTATAGTGAAGGTAAAGGAACATTCATGTATCATAAAAACATGCAAAACAACAGCTTGCTTGTTGTAAACAGTAACCAATTTATATTTTCTTCTGTTTTATAATACCCCAAAAATAACAATCTGCAAAACTCTGCATGATTACATGCTGTTCTAACAATGCAAGGAAGAAAATTCTTTCCCTTGTAAAATAACCGTTTCAGAATTGTGGAGGGTCGGAAGAATGAGAAACATCACTATTTGCATTAATAGGAACACTGTCATGTTTCTGACAAGGCCCCTTATGTAGTATGTCATCAAGCTGAAAAAAAGTTTGGAAAAGTTTAAGGGCTTCCTGGTACCCTACTGAAGTCCATATGGATTTTTTTTCAGGAAGAGAGGGAGCCATGAATGTCTCTAGATGTGCTGGGGCTCCTCCTGCTACCCATTCATCTCCTGCTTGTGCATAACACTGAATCAAGGCCTTTCAATCAGAACAGCAGAAGTGAAAAACTCTACTCCCAGATCCTATCCCCTCCCTCTTGCCTTAGCCACTGGGGATGGAATAAAAACACACGCACACATACTCTCACACCCACTGTGTATATGTACCATATTTACATGAATCTAAGACAACGCTGAATTTAAAGCAACTCTCCCAATAATTAGGTTTCATACATGGAAAATTATAAATTTGTTATAATTTTCCATGTGTGTATATATATATGTACGCCTCACTTAACGCTGCCCTGGTTAACGTTGTTTCATTATTACATCGCTGATCTATTAGAGAACATACTCATTTAAAGTCGCGCAATGTTCGGTTATAACATTTGGCCGCCACCTGCTAGCAGGTAACTACTGATGCTATTGGATTTGCTTAACATCGTTTCACTTAAAGTCGCATTTATCAAGAATGTAACTATGATGTTAAGCAAGGAGTAGCTGTAGTCTAATTATTGGGCATCATAAATTCATCTCCCCACCCATGTGGCATGGGAGCCAGCTATTAGTGCCTCCTGCCATTCCTCCCTCCCTCCCCCCAGTGCCTGCCCCCTTGCCATTTGTCCCACCTGCAGCACTGCACACCTGGTCAAAGCCTGCCTGCCCCTGCTGCCACTGCCACTTGCAGTCACTGGTTACCATATGCAGTAGAAGTAGTAGTGGTGGCAGCAGCAGTTCCAGCTCCTTGCGTGGTCTTCCCTGTAGCAGCTCCCACACCCAGCATGACATGGCCTTTCCTGTCCTGCTCACGCCGACAAAACATAGTCTCTCCATGCTATCCTACTGTACAAGCTATTGCAAGTCACCTTGGCTCTGGCCAACACCAGCAGCAGCAGCTCCTACCCTAGCATTCAAGACAAAGCTCCCTGCATGTTAAAAATGGGGGAAACCCCCCTTGTCTTCAATTTGAGAAAATGTGTGCGTATGTGTACGTGT